GGGGCGGGTCCGCAGCGGCTCAGGGCACCGTCGCAAGCGCCAGGGGCGGGTCCGCCGTGGCGTAGGGCACCGTCACCGGCGCCAGGGGCGGGTCCGCGGTGGCTCAGGGCACCGTCGCGAGCGCCAGGGGCGGGTCCGCGGCGGCTCAGGGCACCGTCGCGGGCGCCAGGGGCGGGTCCGCGGCGGCTCAGGGCACAGTCGCGGGCGCCAGGGGCGGGTCTGTGGTGGCTCAGGGCACCGTCGCGGGCGCCAGGGGCGGGTCCGCCGCGGCTCAGGGCACCGTCGCGGGCGCCAGGGGCGAGTCCGCGGCGGCTCAGGGCACCGTCGTGGGCGCCAGGGGCGGGTCCGCGGCGGCTCAGGGCACCGTCGCGGGCACTAGGGGCGGGTCCGCGGCGACTCAGGACACCGTCGCAAGCGCCAGGGGCGGGTCTGCGACGGGCAGAAAAAACGTCACACGCCACCCGGGCGTGGAACGCAATGAAAATCGCCACGCGCCTGAGGCGCGCGACAGGAAAAAAAGCAGCGGAAGCGAGAGGCTGGCCCACAGGTTAGGACTTAACAGGCTCTAATACCATATCAGAATAGTAGGAGTAGGTAGTTAGGTTTAAGAGGGCCTAGGCTTAGTAGCCTAGGCCAAAGGGGGTCGAGCTAGTTTGTGCCAAGGATGAAGAGTTGAGAGATGAGAGGAGAATGAATGTTCACTATAGCCCTAGGGTACATATAGCAAACAAAGAGGTGCACCACCTGTTGGTGCAACCCTATGGTTTGCACTCGGCTTGTTGTCCGTGTGCGTGCATGTGTGTGTGTATGGAATGGTATGAGGGCATGGGATAATATATATGTCATGTTTAAAATTGTGTGTGAATGTTGAGTCATGATGTCGAGTGTGTGTGTCGAGTCAATAGCGAGTTATCGCTAGACGCGCGTTACGTGGTCGTTTGTGTCTCGCGTGCGGTTTCTATTTTGTCGTGCGCGGTTTCTATTTTGTCCTGTGTCGAACGTTCGGCGTGTCGCAGGTGTGTGCAGAAGACCCATCAAGAACTCAAGGATGAGTTTGTGATGAAGAGCCCGAGCCTTGGTGTCAAGCCTCAAGTGATTTCGAAGCTCGCCAAAAGGGTGCACCTCAAGATATTGAAGATAGTTACATTACTTTGTGTAGTGTAACATTTCACTTGGTGTAGGCCCTAGTGAAGGGTAGTTTCGAGACCCTTCGTGGTTGGGGACAGTGTGGCACTGTTCCACATCACTGTACCTCGGCTCTTGGGGTTTGTAGGAGCTGGGAGTCATTCCCAAATCGTAACTCTTCCTAACTCTTCCTATCTTGTGTTCTAAGACTATGTTGCAGCCATATTGCCATTCGTTCAAATCAACGCTGTGTCGTCAGCTCTTAATGAAAGCGTGCGATCTAAATTGCCTATTGTAGGCAACGTTAAGGTGCTCCAGATCCAAGTTGAATGAAGTCATTTGGAGTTGTGAGCAAATCGCTATGAACGTTTGAAGCCGCTTTGCAGAAATCCGACTATGCACTCTATCTTTCGTTTTAGGCACATTGGAGCCTACTGTGACTATAACAAGTGGTATCAGAGCCCCTTGGAGCAGTTTCGACAATGGCTGGACCTGAGGAAAGGGGTGGCAGAGGTGCTGGTGGCAGTGGAGAAGCCCAAGCTCAAGGCCAACCTCGTGACTCAGCCATGGCGCCCGTGCAACCAGGTGTTGGCCCATCTAGGGACGAGCCTAGAGTGTTTGGCCTTGACAAGTTCAACAGTGACAACTTTGCTGAGTGGTCCTTCAGAATTGAGAACGTTTTTGTTCACTATGACCAGCTGGAGGTGATGGAAGGAACGGAGAAGCGTCCCGAGAACGACCCGGAGAAGAGCCCGTGGGTGCGGAAGAGTGCACAAGGCTACCTCCTACTAGGTCAAGTGTTGGGGAGCAGCCAAATCCGTCACATCAAGCCTTTCCAGCGTGAACCAAAGAAGAGACAAAAGGCATGGGCTGCTCTCAAGGGTGTGCACGCTCCTGCAACAGCCGCGGTAGCTGTGGTGTTGGAACTGCAAATGGCGACACTACGAATTGAAGAGGATGAAGCGGTTGAAGAAGGGGTGCAGAAATTCTTTGACTTGTTGACGCGGCTTGAGGGAGCTGATTTGAACTATAGTGAGCTCCAAAAGAAGACCAAGTTGCTGGCCCTACTCCCTGAGTCATGGTCCTCGCTCATCATCAACCTTAATCGCGACTTGCCCCGCCTCTCGCTTGAAGACATGAAGCGAGCTATCCTTCAAGAGGATTTCCGCCGCCGTGAGTTGGCGAGTGCGGATGGCGCTGGGACAGCGAGCATCGGCCGTGGATATGGTCGAGGAAGAGGTAGAGGACAAGGGGGAGGAAGGTTTGGTGGCAGCAACTTCGGCGGAGGCCGCGGGAGTGGCGGTTACGGCAGCGACGACAAGAGCTACGGACGCGGTCGCGGCCGATTCGACGGCGAGTGTCAGTATTGCCACAAGAGCGGACACATGTGGCGCGATTGCTACAAACTCCCCGATGGTTGGACCCCTGCTCAAGGCCAAGAGGGTAGAGGAGCAGGTGGAGGGAGAGGAAGAGGCCATGGAGGCTGTGGCGGTCGCGGTGGCGGAGCTGCAAACATGAAGAGCGGAGACAACGACAAGGACCCGAGCGACGATCGATACCCGGGTCTATTCTACTTCGTGTTGACGCAAGTACCGGCTGATCCAGAGAAGAATGAAGGCTTTGAGGAGCCAGCAGCTGTGGGGAAGGTGACCCTACACCCCCTGGACTTTTGGGTGATTGATAGTGGCGCTACCTATAGCATGACACCTCGCCCGGACTTGCTCACTGAACTCGAGCCGTCACCGGTGAAGCATGTCACATCGGCTTTGGGGCAGCGAGCAGAGGTGAAATGCATGGGGAAGGCCATGTTCAAGGGTGCTGATGGGAAGATGGTGGGCCTCAAGAACGTGATTTGGGTGCCCAGCCTTGCTGCAAACCTGATTTCCGTGCGGCGGTTGGCAAAGGCCGGCATGGACACGAACTCGAAGGGAGCCAAAATCTACACCGCAAGGCTTGGCGATCGAATTCTTTGGGACCTTCATGAGGACAAGAATGTATACAATGAGATGTGGCAGATCCCAGTGGTCCCTATGCCTAAGGAGAGGCAAGTGGCAGCAAGCATCAGCACCATACGCAAACGGATTCACCATGTCGCGCAACCCCAGCAGACCGTCGCAAAGTCTAAACATGGCTGTCGATAACGCATCACCGCTTGTGCGTAGGGCCTGTGCTTCATACCACTCCCTCTAAGCACCTTGTTGAATGTCCGTGCAAGAATGGATTATGATCCATCACCATACGCAAACGGATTCACCATGTCGCGCAATCCGCAGGCCTGAACGCTGCATCGTCGCACAGTCTAAACATGGCTGTCGATAACGCATCACCGCTTGTGCCTAGGGCCTGTGCTTCATACCACTCCCTCTAAGCACCTTGTTGAATGTTTGTGCAAGAATGGATGACGATCCATCACCATATGCAAACGGATTCACCATGTCGCGCAACCCCAGCAGGCCTGAACGCTGCATCGTCGCATAGTCTAAACATGGCTGTCGATAACGCATCCCCGCTTGTGCGTAGGGCCTGTGCTTCATACCACTCCCTCTAAGCACCTTGTTTAATGTCCGTGCAAGAATGGATGACGATCCATCACCATCCGCAAACGGATTCACCATGTCGCGCAACCCCGGCAGGCCTGAACGCTGCATCGTCGCACAGTCCAAACATGGCTGTCAATAACGCATCACCGCTTGTGCGTAGGGCCTGTGCTTCATACCACTTCCTCTAAGCACCTTGTTTAATGTCCGTGCAAGAATGGATGACAATCCATCGCCATATGCAAACGGATTCACCATGTGGCGCAACCCCAGCAGGCCTGAACGCTGCATCGTCGCACAGTCTAAACATGGCTGTCGATAACGCATCACCGCTTGTGCGTAGGGCCTGTGCTTCATACCACTCCCTCTAAGCACCTTGTTGAATGTCCATGCAAGAATAGATGATAATCCATCACCATATCACAAATGATTCTCGTTTACTATTGATCATCATGTTAGAATGTCGTTCGCTATCAATAAACCGATGTGGCAAATCCTATATGTGCGCACTACATCTGTGTGACGCAAGAATCACCGATAAACTTACCTCAGCCCCATACTAAACCATTTGCAACCAAGTGTTTGATGAAATCTATTGTTGTATGTTTGAATTTGATTTAGCTGCTATGTGCAACACTGTGCGTTCGCGACAACACTGTACTTTGCAGGGATTTTACTAATTTCGCACTTGGCATTTCACAACCGTTGTACCCATTGTAGTGATTGATGCGTTGGCAACTGTGATTGGCCGACGCATCTCAAACGAGTTGGCCCGCAACACAATCACCAGCCAAGAGGTACTTCAGCCAATGAGCGGCTGAGATCGAGCGGTTGGTGGGTTTATGCTAGGGTGGCTACACGTACACCGTCCGATATAGCCTGATAGGGTTACAGTAATCTCTTTAGTCTCGCAACCCACCCCAACCACCCTCGTGCCCCACCCACCTGCTTCCGTCACTCCCTGGTCCAACACTTTGACGCTGCTCGCTGTTTGACACACGCCTCTCCGTCGCGGCCATAGCTCTCTGCTTAGTGGCTACTAGTTCAGTTTTAGATGAAGCGGCGGTTTTCGGATAAAGATAACAAAGATCGACCGTCGATAATCCCATCGTGGGATTCCGTTGCAATACCCCTTCGAAACCGGCACAACCCTTCCGCGCGATGTGCTAATTTTCTTTCCTATGATGACCATGACTCGTGCAACACGTAACCAAGCAATGGTGGAGGAACAGGCGGGCCGCCGCGCGACAAGGAGGACGTCTCAACAGATAGATAGGGAGAGCGGTGGCGGCGCTAAAAAAACTAATGCGTCCTTTGCGCCAGGCATTGGGCAGAAAAATGCGGCGCCAAAAAAAGGTCGAGCGCGGTCAAGAGGAGTCCGGCAAGAAAGTGGAAGACAAGGGGCCTAAACCAAAGCCACGCAAGCGTGTTTCTACAGTGCGCAAAGAAGCGGATGTTGCCTGTGCTGGAACCGATCCCGATCCGAGTAACGACGTCACCACTGGCGTCAACAAAGATACGGGGCCAGGGAGCGCGAGTCTTGCAGTCCAGTCGGTGGAGATAGAGGGATCGGCGACAGGGGGAAACCACGGAGGCGATCCCCGCGCCGAGCATGCCGCAACCAAGGAGTCCGAGGCGCCGACATCGCAACACCATCTGACGCTGCTCCAGCCGACTGTGGTCGAAGTTTCTGCAGCCGTGCTGGATAAGGACAAGGTGGAGGAGCACGAGTCGGAGGGGCAGGTCGGTGGCTCTCCTCCTTCTGGTGGACGGGGGAGGCGTAGGCATAGGAGGAGCGATGGGGAGGACGATTATGACACCGCCGTGCCCGGGGACCTCACCACGCGGGCGAAGAGGCGGCAGACGACACGCAGTGCTGACGACGCCGGAGGCGCAGAAGTTGGGACAACGCGAGGCGCCAAGGAAGCTAGTGGCAAGGCGGGCGGTCAAGCATTGCGCCAGATTGGCCGACCCACAGCAAGAAGAACATCCGGCGGAAGGAGAGGCAAGAAAGCAATGACGGGGACGAGGCAGAAACGGGGCGATGAACACCCTGGTGATGCGGAGGAGGAGAAGGATGAGGAGGAGGATGCGGAGGAAGAGGAGGATGAAGAGGATGCGGAGGAGGATGACACGGATGTTGGGGAGGATGAAAAATATGAGAATGATGGCGGGGAGGACAAAGAGGAGGATGAGGATGAGGAGGAGGAGGAGGAGGAGGAGGAGTGTGATAACAAATGACCAGGAATGAATAATGACTAAGTCAGAGTTGGGTACAAATACAACCCTAGAAAGCTGTACCCCATATGTGCTACCCCACTATAGCCTACAAACATGCATCAGCTATAATAATCTGACAAGGAGGAGGAGGAGGAGGAGGAGGAGGAGGAGGAGGAGGAGGAGGAGGAGGAGGATGAGGAGGAGGAGGAGGAGGAGGAGGAGGATGAGGAGGAGGAGGAGGAGGAGGAGGAGGAGGAGGAGGAGGAACAGGGTGACGACGAGTAGGAGGATGAGGAGGAGGAGGAGGAGGAGGAGGAGGAGGAGGAGGAGGAGGAGGAGGAGGAGGAGGAGGAACAAGGTGACGACGAGTAGGAGGATGAGGAGGAGGAGGAGGCAGCAGAGGAGGAGGAGGAGGAGGAGGAGGAGGAGGAGGAGGAGGAGGAGGAGGAGGAGGAGGAGGAGGAGGAGGAGGAGGAGGATGTGGCGCCAGTGAAGGGACGGGGCGGGCGTGGCAGACGGGTGAGTGGTACAGGGAAGGTGGAGGGCCGGACTCGCCCTTTCCGAAAACGCGGGGCAGTTGATGCCGCGCACGGCGAAGCAGCGGGCAAACAGAAGGCGCATAAGGTAAAGGTCGAAAGTGAAGGGGGTGGTAAAAAGCAAGGGAGCCAGGGAGCAAATGGGGATGGAGGGGGTGGCCGCGGCAAAGGGGTTCCAATCGGTACCGGCAAGAAAGAACCTGCCGGTAAACGTCGCAGCGTCCGCCAAAGCACCCCGCGGAAAGGTGGCAACGAGAAGGCCCAGGCTGCCCCAAAACCGAAGGGACAGCAGAAAGGTGAGCGTTGTGGCCAATACAAGTGGCGTGGTTGTTGAACCATCTGGTCAACCGTGCCAAATAACACCATTTTTTCCCATTGTTTCTCCCCTGCAGGGAAAGAGAGGGTCGACGAATCTACCAAGCAATGTAAACCCTCGTCTCAAACCAGTACAACCCTAAATCCGACTTAGATTCAAACCTTTGATGTTATGCATGCATGTTTGGCCCTGTATTGAAACCGGTTGACTCTAATTTCTTTATCCTACTCCCTCTACATCTCAGCCCCTCGCGTTACAGGCATTGGGCCACCCGTAAGCGTGCAACGGTTGCAGCTAACGAAGGCTGCCGGAAGAGCGAGTATTACACCGCTAGCCACAGGAGCACCAAGGTTCTACACGCCATACCCCGGCCCGAGCAAAGTCGCTGCAACGGCACCCGGTGTGCCAAGAGGAGAGGAATCCGAATCCCCTCAACCAGCCCCCGTCACGCAAACCCCACTCGCCTCACCCTCGTACCCATTTTGGTCGCTACACGCTTCTCCTGTCCGGGGCAGGGCGGTCTCCCCCCTCGCCAATTTATCGCGCGGGCATCAGGCAGGCACTTATACCAATCCCTTCCCTGAGCTCCTTTTCCCGCCAGCGTGATAGTGTGAGGGCACACGGGACTGCTGCAGAAGATGCTGATCCCCTTGGCCAGATGGGGGATTCTTCACACCCTTTTCCTCCGCTCATGGGTGCCCTAGGTGAAAGTGCGGAGCACGAGCGGTTTGTTACACGGGAGGAGTTCCAGGCGCTACGGTCTGAGATGTACGCCATATTTGCACAGCTCGGCCTGCATCGTGGAGTACCTGCCAGCTATGCCGGCGGGTCGGCAACCCTGCCTATGGCTGGTACCCCGCCGCCGATGAGCGCCGTGGACAAGGCACGAGTGCTAGTGTTGCAGGAGACAAACCCGTTACCGGTATCTGGCGGGCCAGATGGGGCAAGTTGGGGTTGAAGTGGCAACCAGGTCAGGGTTGGGGCTGACGAAGCGGTTTCGAAGGCTCCATTTGAGCGGCGTGTGACAAGGCGACGCGTATCAGGTGGGTGGGGGGTGACGTGGCATGGGGTGGGAGGGTGTGACGTGGCACGGGGGGCTGGTTGTTGGTGGACGTGGCGGATGCAGGACGGTGTGACGTGGCGGATGCAGGAGGGTGTGACGTGGCGGATGCAGGACGGTGTGACGTGGCACGTGTGGCTGGTTGTTGGTGGACGTGGCGGATGCAGGAGGGTGTGACGTGGCGGATGCAGGAGGGTGTGACGTGGCACGTGGGGCTGTTTGGTGGACGTGGCGGATGCAGGAGGGTGTGACGTGGCGGAAGGTGAGGGTTGGGGATGACGTGGCGGATGCAGGTGGGTGTGACGTGGCGGAAGGTGAGTGTTGGGGATGACGTGGCTGTTTATAAGGGTATACGTGTGCGGCGCATGACGTAGCGAGGCGTTTCAGGTGGGTAGGGGGTGACGTGGCTCTTGGTGGGGGTGTGACGTGGCAAGTAGGGCGGGTTGTTGGCGGATGCAAAAGGGTGTGCCGTGGCGGAATGTGAGGGTTGGGGCAGACATGGCGGTTTGGAATGATACACGGGAGCAGCGCGTGACAAAGCGACGCGTGTCAGGTGGATGGGGGGTGACGTGGCATGGGGTGGGAGGGTGTGACGTGGCACGGGGGGCTGGTTGTTGGTGGACGTGGCGGATGCAGGAGGGTGTGACGTGGCACGTGGGGCTGGTTGTTGGTGGACGTGGTGGATGCAGGAGTGTGTGATATGGCGGATGCAGGAGGGTCTGACGTGGCACGTGGGGCTGTTTGGTGGACGTGGCGGATGCAGGAGGGTGTGACGTGGCGGAAGGTGAGGGTTCGGAATGACGTGGCGGATGCAGGTGCGTGTGACGTGGCGGAAGGTGAGTGTTGGGGATGACGTGGCTGTTTAAAAGGGTACACGTGTGCGGTGCATGACGCAGCGAGGGGTTTCAGGTGAGTGGGGGGTGACGTGGCTCTTGGTGGGGGTGTGAAGTGGCAAGTAGGGCGGGTTGTTGGTGGATGCAAAGGGCTGTGATGTGGCGGAATGTGAGGGTTGGGGCAGACATGGCGGTTGGGAATGATACACGGGAGCGGCGCGTGACAAGGCGACGTGTGTCAGGTGGGTGGGGGGTGACGTGGCATGGGGTGGGAGGGTATGACGTGGCACGGGGGGCTGGTTGTTGGTGGTCGTGGCGGATAAAGGAGGGTGTGACGTGAAAAGTTCACACAGTCCATCCTCTGGTCACGCGGCCACAGTCATAACTGATGCTTTCTCTCTCCCCATGTCATGTTGTATACCCCACACCCCTGCGCAGAACAAAGCCTACTTAGTGTGCTCTCAGCTCCTGTTTTTGAACCCCCCCAAGAAGATTCAGTACTACCCTGCACCGGAGGAAGTGTTCGAGGCGTTCGCTGTCCACTTGTCTGCCAAAGGGCTCGAGTCACTGAAGCTGCTGTGGTTGCACAACGACAAGTCAACCATGGGTATCTTCAACCACCAGATGTCGTTAACCAGGTCAACAATCAACAACACCCTCAGGCCAGCAACGTACGCCGGCATGGGCCTCTCCGATTACGCCCATCTCATGGATACCCTGCCCACTGAGCTACACCCATAGAAGTGGTTCAACCACGAGGATCTCCTGGCCGAGTACAGAGATGGTATATGCGACTCGAACACACCATATCCCCCCTACCCATATGCCAGGTGGCAGCTACAAATAACCATGCGGTGTTCCTCACCCTGACTCTCACCCAGCTACTTGATTTCTCTGCACCCCCTTTCCAACCCGTACGCTCCCTCCAAAATGCAGAACAGTGGGCCCTCAACTGGCACTTTGACAAGGCCACCGGAACGCCCTTCAGCAACCCCTTGTTTGCTTATGTGTTCAAGCTCTCCTTCAAGAGGGGCGTGGTCGTGTTCACCAAGTTTAAGAGCCGCATGGTGGCATGGGGCCTGTTTTCGGTAAGGATGTAGATATTTGTCTGTACACCCATGCCTCATACTCTAAACCCCTTGCATGTACTTCATCTAAATCCCTGGTCGCTCAGGCGTTTGCAGTTACGTAGGGTGTGTCATCTTCACCGCTTTCAGTTGGCCCATATACCCGTAACCCCCCCCCATACTCCATCCACCCAACCCTAAAGCCAATAGACATAGCCGGTGTGACTCTTGCGATCAGCTGAATCTCCAGCATAATCAGCATCACTAAAGCCCACCAACTCAACCTGAGGCTTGATGTGTGCGGGGTAGAAGATATCTGACTTAACACAACCTTTCGGGTACCTTGTTGCCCATCCGGTTCTTAACTCAGTTGGCATATTGCACTACTGCTCCCCACCAAGTATGGTCCAGCTTTGCATGAGCAAGCATGGCTCGGGCAAGGTCAATGAGGGTCCGGTTAAGCCGTTCCGCTGCCCCATTTTGCTGTGGCGTGTAGGCTACTGAAAGCTGGTGGGTAATCCCCTTATCTTCAAGGAAGGTCTCCAGGTCCTTCCCCATATACTCCCCACCCCGATCAGACCTTAGTATCTTTACCTTGACCCCGGCTTCCCTCTCCGCATAGCGTATCCAACGCTTGAACACCTTGGTCACCTCATCCTTGGTTTTCACCAAAGTGACCTAGCTGAGGCAGCTGTAGTCATCCAGGAATGTGATGAAGTACTTGCTGCCCTTCTCCCTATCCGGTGTTTGCATGGGGCCACACACATCCGTGTGCACCAACTCAAAAGGTGTGGAGGCTCTAGTGGTGGAGGTAGGGAAGGAGGTCCTTGGCAGCTTTCCGGTCGTGCAATCAGGGCACTTGATTGGCTGCCCACCACCCTCCTTGATCTCCACACCCTTCAGCTCCCCCTTTTTCACACACTCCACAAGTTGTTGTTTCCCTGCATGCCCCATGCATAGGTGCAGCAAATCCACCGTCACCTTCTCTATGTCCTTCCAAAGGGTGCTGCAAGCTGCATCCTTGGCTTCAACCCCATGTGCCTTCTCCACTTGAGGCACACATACTGGAAAAAGGTACAGTCCCTTCTCTAACTTGGCCTCCATCACCACAGCTCTACCCTTGCGAACCGTGCACCCTCCCATGGTGAAGGTTCATGCGTATCCTTGCCTAGCAAGCAGAGAGCATGAAAGGAGGTTGGCTGCCAATCCAGGAACATGAAGCACACCCTTCAAATGTAGCAACTCCCCCTCCTTCCCCTTAATGGTGATGGTGCCGATGCCAGTTGCTTGCAACGTATCTCCGCTCCCCGCGATCACATTTCTTGATAGGTGGTGAAGAGGTCACGCCATGCTACCATTCCACAAGTGGCACCTGAGTCTAGAACGAGGTGATCGGGGTCAGCCAACACACGACCAGCAAGCGCCGTCTCCTTCTCCAGGGTAAGGAAGGAGGAACCGTCATCCGACGAGTCC